TCCCTTCTATGTTGTATTGTGTATTGGATTGTAATTGGCTAGAGCCTGGAAGGCGCAGACACGAAAGAGCAGTCATAACCCTTTGAATAGCAATGATAGATCACCACCATCAGCATTCCCATTGATCCTTGGCATGGATCATGACAAACGAAGACTCGCCTCATATGAAGTCTTAGGCAATGTCACTATGCAAGTTGATCAGGTTGAGACATGAACATTTCTTGAACTTCTAAATCGATATTCCAGACTAATAGCTACAACGAAAAAGACCGCAAAGGAAAAGCACAACTGTGTACGATAAAAAAACACGAAATAAACGCCACCCAGCATTAAACATTTTCTGGGTATTGCATGTCCCAGTCGACTAACAGAGCTTCCGTGCTCAGTCTGTTGAGAAGTGGCTCATGCGCGCCGAAGGATGCGTGTCCTTCCTGTCCTCGTCGGTAGAGAACGCCTTCAACTTGTACTCCATAACCGTCGTGGAAACACCTTTGCCCTTGTCGTTGCTGGGGCGGCCGCTGCTCGGGGTGCTTCCATTGAGGGTGCTACCATCAGAGACACGGTTACCCATGCCGTTCTCCACATCACCGCCGTCCTTCTTGTCGTCCGCAGTGGCGTTGACAGCGCGGCCAGTGAAGAGGTCCTCCGGGAAGGGGAACAGTGTGCGACGTCTCGGTGGCGACTTCTTGGTTGCTGTCATCCACACCAAGGCCGTCATGTCTTTACCGAGGGCCTCGATGATGGGCGTGACGATGGGGAGGCAGGCGAAGAGCACACCGTAGGATGTTATGCCGACAATGGTTACGTTGATGCCGTAGCTGAAGCCGCGCTCGGCTAGTGCGACCATGAGCCAGGATCCGTAGGTCCAGAAAACGAGACCGTGGAGCAGGTAGATGGTGAAGACGTGGGGGAAGAGGACGAGGAAAGGAGGCGTGGACAGGACCCATTGTACCGCGGCGGAGAGTTCGACAATGGCTTGCATGCCGCCTGCGAAGAGCACACCGTTGAGACGCGGCGTGTAGTATGGCGGGTAGCCTGCCTGGTCTGTTTCCTGAATGGCTACACCAGTTACAGGATCGGGGTGGATGCCGCGCTCCGCAGTCGAGAAGTTAAAGTCCGTGTCGACCCAGTTAGGAATGACGTTGACGGCGAAACTGGCGCCAACGCAGGCCCAGAAGAAGGTGATGGTGGCGTAGTACGCTCCCGGTCGTGTGGCCAGGAATGCTTTCCACTTGTAGGTCACGTCGAGGTCGGTGAGGAGCAGACCGAGCCAGAGGTATGTGCCCCAGGACTGAGCGTACCAGTGGTTGATGAGGCAGAAGGCGTAGTAGCACATGCGCTTCCATGGTGTCTTGATCTCGTAGACGACGACAGCACCGAGAAGGACGAGCCAGGAACCTTGGAGTTGCACGGCGATGGTCCAGAGGACACCGGTGCAGTAGTGCAGAGTGATTTGCGGGACGGCGTTGGGGACAAGGAACATGAGTTCGAGAACTTCAGAGATGTACTGGCCGAAGTTGTTGTAGCGGCTCACGTAGGGCCAGGTCGACCAGGTCAGGGAAGGAATGTATTGTAAGAACTTGGTCGCGCCAACGTCGATGAAGAAGTACTCCAGTAGGGCCATAGAAGCGACAGGAATCATAAGACGGGGTGTTCGGCGTACGGCTGCCTTAGCGATCTCATCCATCTTGCCCTTGCGCAGATAAGGTGCTGTCAAGAAACGGACGGAGGTTGTGAAGAAGACACCAAGCCACATCTGATTGAGCAGGAACGGACCGATAATTCTCTGGGCCCATGGCTCAGATGCGTTGTGTGCATCTGCACCAGGTGTGACGATGGCAGGGACGAAGGTAAGACCAAAATGCATCAGGGTGACCACGAGAGAGCAGAGCGCCGTCAGACCAGCAAGATGGTCGATACGTTGTCGCTGAGGCAGAGGCTGGGGGCGCATACGAGGAGCTGGTAGGGCGGACTCGGTGACGGTCTCCATTGTGATCTTGTCATGGGGAGCGATCATGGGAACGGATGGGGTCATGGTGGCGCGCGGGTCCATCAAAGTGAGCATGGAGTTGCGATCTCTTGAGATGGCTGTGCCTGGAGTTCCTGGAGTCATCATCGATGCGTGAGGATCGACCATAGTCAACATAGAGTCGCCTCCCCTCGACACTGCCGTTCCTGGCATCGGTGGCATAGGTACGTAGAGATCCTCGCGCGTAGTGTTGAAGTTGCTGTTGAAAGGAGTTGGCCCACGGCTATCGAAGAATACCGAGTTAGGTCTGGAGAGACCATCCTTGGGTGTAGAGCCACCGAGAGTCGAGGTACCGGGGAGTCTCTCGATCGCCATGTCGTCGTCGTCTGAGTTGCGCTTTTCGGAAGCGGAGGGAGTTTTCTGGTCGGCACCACCACGAGAGAAGATCTCGTGCGAAGCCACTGTGAAGGTGCTGTCGCTGAATGGATTCTTCTTTTCGTCTTCGGACTCTTTTGGCTCCGTGGAGGAAGCTGGGGTAGGTTTCGGGGCTTCACTCTTGAGCTTGGGAGCGAGACGTCGGATGAGGGCGTGGATGATAAGGACGGTCGAGAATATGATGCATGATACGGAGAGCCAGAGTGCCGGCATGCGCCTGATGTCTTTGCCTTTGTACTGCTCCCATTTTTCTGTTGCGTCATCACCATATGGTGTGGAACCACGGAGTTCAATGTCGTCCATCGAGCACGCATCAGTCAACGGGCACCTCGCGACGAAATCCTCGCGAGCATCTACGCTCATTGTAGACGAGTTGAAGAACATGCGGATCCAGCCAACTTCGGCAACAGACTCTGTGCGTTCAGGTGGGCCACGCATGGAGTAGCGGTTACCGGTTGACCAATGCTTGAAGAACATGGCCGAGGGAACAGAAGGCATGCCACCGTTATTCTTCTGTAGGACCTGCCTAGTGAGGTTGCCACCGATGTAGAAGTTGATGTAGTCTGCAGTCCAATCGATCCTGTACTCGGTGAACTCCCATGGGTTGATGCTGCCATTGCTGAGGCCACCACCAAGGGTAGTATAGTTGCGGTTCGCAGCCGTGCTGTTGAGAAGCTGGCTGTAGTTCATTCCGAGGTTACGGGTAGTGAATTCGTTGTTGACAAAGGTACCCACCCATGGGTCTCGTCGGTTGTTCATGTTCATGACACTGAGCTCGGTGATCTCGGTCTCATTGTACTTCCACATCATGGACGCCGCCGTGCCCGCAGAATCCATGTCTGCAGACTTGAGTAGAGTGCGGAAAGAGCCATGCTGGATGTCGCGTCGCTTCGTCCGCAGACTAGCACCTCGAACGAGATGCTCGGCAGTCGAAGGTTCCACAACAAGCTGAAGAGAGTCGTTGTTGAATCTGAGATTGTCGGGAGAGGCGCCTTCGCGATAGACGGCATTCTGGGAAGCATTAGCTACTGGCTTTGAGGCATATTCACGGCAGACGGACCCAATCCTTTGCATACTTCTGAGCAAAGTCTTCGGCGATGAAGTCGATCGGTAATTGGGTAGTCTCGTTGAAGTAGACGATGATGGAGTCGGTAAAGAGCTCTGATGTCTGGGTGTCGTAGAAACCGCAGGTACAATTGTCCTGCCCACGCGTGACATCCGCAAGCGCAGGCAAGATATGCACAAGGGCAAGACCGAGCAAATGAGAGGAAAACATGCTGATGAGAGAGAGTGACTGAACAGAAACAGGGACAGATCCGCTGCTCAAGTCAGAAAGGCAGTATTTGTCTGCGACATATGCATGCAGCTAGCTGTGCAAGGCCTGTGTAAAGACCCCGGCCTAAGCTTGCAACACTGCTCTCCGGACGGGGAGGAGCCGCCTTGCTTCTCCGATCAGCATTGGCATCAGGTTGACGGCGTTGCAAAGTCCCCTATCTTGGACAAAGTCTTAGCCTGCTTCATGAGGGTCATGATCGGAGCGTTGCCTCAGCGGGGAGCGCGCGGCCCTGCAACAAGGCCAAAAAAGGTATGCAAGCTTTGCTTGGCAGGCCCGTACTTGATAGCAAGCAGAATGGACGTCGTGGCATGGGGCTAACTAGCCGCCGTAGGACGTGCAGACGAGAAGGTTGAGGAAGATGCCGTGCCCGCGCTGTCGGTGGGTCGGAAACGTGCGCCGCACTCCTGCCCGTGCATCGACGCTAGCACAGACGTTTCCTCCCAATGCATCCCGCGCTCGTTCTGCCTCAACAAACCCGACGAAACTTCATCACCATCCCAGTTTCGATCATTGATCTTCGTTGCCAGCATCGACCGATATCAGCCGTTTCCGGAAGGCGACAAGGGTCCGCATCACACTGCCAGTCCCAGCCGTGCTTCATGCGCTCAGCACGCCGCAGCGGGAACCCATTGTCGTGTCAATACCCAGTGCAGTGTCCCGTCTCTCAGCTTCTGCAGGCTCAGTGGCACCGTGGACACCGGATGCCAGAAAAATGCACCGCCAGATAGCGGCTGGCGTGTGTCCCTCCGATGTTCCTTCCCCAACCCGCCCGATTCTGCATGTTCGTTGACGCTGACCAAACTGCGGTCAACTGGTAAAAAGCACCTGGTTGGCCCGCCAGACTTGTGGACGTGGGTTTGACATGTGACTTGGCATATTCACCATTCCCGACCTGTAGAGCTGTACCGGGGTCGACATGGCCAACGTGCAGGCCGACCCACTCCAATCTCATTATCACAACTTGGCGCTGTTGATGCTAGGTAATGCTGATCTCAGTTGAGCACGAAGCTTGCATGGAGACCAGCTCCCACGGGCGGTAATCACGGTTTCGACATGAACCCTTCGGCGGTTTTGCCCCTTCTACAGTCGCTGCGTGTCGGCTACGGTGTTTACCATACGCACTAAGCAATTGTGCAATCAAGGGCCGAATATATGTTCTGTATCCGCTCCTTGTCAGTAGTCTCACCCCCTCCATCATAGTCACCATTCGCTTTGACTACCTCTTCCATCGTTACTGTCACATCATACACTCGTTTCAAGATGTCTGACACCACGAAGGACTGCGTAATTGAGGTCGGGGAGGTCACTTCTCCTACGGCCAACGAGAAGTCGGTCGCCAAAAATCCTTCCATCGCTACTGAGGCAATCGGTCGGACATCTTCCTGGATCTCTGAGTGGACGCCCTTCGGTCTGGTCGCCTCCTACTACGTCTTCTCGGTATGCCTCTACATGTACTGCAGCAACGGGCTGATTGCCATCTTCTGGTTCATATACATGTGCACCAACTTTTACATTGCCGGCACAACTGTCTTGGAGGCCTTCTTCAGTATCACGCCCTGCCGCGAGGCAAGAGCAATCGTCACGCAAGCGCAGGAGAAGCAGTGGCTGTTCCCCACGCCACACCACAAGCTACCCATCCTCGATCTTCTCATCGTCGCCTACCTACCCAATGAGCAGGACATCATCATGGACCGCGCTCTTTACGCGCTTGAACAGCTCGATTACCCCTCTGACAAGATCCGTATCGTCATCCTCTACAACACCCCCAAGCCAATCGAGCCATTGGAGACTGAGCTGCACCAACTCCCTATGCGCTTCCCCCATGCAAGGGTCATCAAGGTACCCAACTCGACTTCCAAGGCAGACAACCTCAACTACTACTTCACGCTGGACACTGGATCTGACATCATCGCCATCTACGATTGCGACCACTACCCTCACCCCAACTCACCACGATGGGCCGCTGAGCGATTCGTTGCCGAGAAGGATGTCGACATCGTCCAAGGCCGCTGCATCATCTTCAACTCCGACGACAGCTTCATGACCAACATGATCGCAGTCGAGTTCGACAAGATTTACGCTGTCTCTCATCCCGGTCGTTCTACTATGTGGGGATTCGGTCTCTTCTGTGGATCCAACGGTTATTGGCGCACATCGCTTCTTCGCAATCTGAAGATGGACGACACAATGCTTACTGAAGACATCGACTCTGCACTTCGCGCATTCTCCAAAGGTGCCAAGACCGTTCATGATCTCAATGTAACTTCCTACGAGTTGGCCCCCACAACCTTCAGCGCATTCTGGAAGCAACGTCTCCGGTGGGCTCAGGGCTGGGCTCAAGCGAGTATGCGACACATGAAGATGGTTTGGAATGGCGTCAAGGATCCGTTGCACGAAGAGCATGCCAAGCGCAGCTTCACTGCCCGCTTCGGTGTTTTGTCGCTATTACTCATCCGCGAGTCCTCGTACTATCTCGTCACACAGTACACGTGTTTAGTCGCATCATTCGTTATCGTCAAGTTCCCGACGTCCGGGGAGGAGCTCTGGAAGCTGGTCTATTTCCAGTACCCCGTATCACAGTGGCTTTTCATTATCAGGTTCGTACAGCCCTCGACGTAATCTTGTACTTCGCTAACGGTGTCGTGTCACAGTATTGTCTGCTTGATTGCTACTCTTTGGATCACCAACCAGGTCAAATCCGAGTACATCTCCAGAAGGATGATCATTCTCTTCTCGGTTCTGTACCCGTTTTACCTGGTTCTCAACGCCACAATCGGTCTTTACGGCCACGCTCGCCAGCTTGTCAAGTACAGCTCCTGGAACCCAACAGCCAGGAAGTAGGGTCATACCATATCATATTATCTTCTTAATTTTCTTTTTTGTCAATATCATAGGGAAGGGGCACAAGGCTTTGGATGCTCTCGTTTAGTTCGGGATGAAGCCCGCAAGCCATTAATGGCGGCTGAGGCTTTCATGAGTCACGCATCAGTATATAATACACGATTAATTACATCATAATTACTATTACTACATACTATTTCTGCACATTTTGACACGATGACCGTTGTCGCAAATAAGGTTCTTCGAGAGATGATGCGCTCTTCTCATTTACCAATGATCATTCATCGATTGACTCTGTTGTCCTGGCTCCTGAGTGGTCAACATGTGAAACTCGATCTATGAGATAACGCGCGGCATCACAGCGGAATGCAGAGCATCAGCCTTATCCCGGGCGACTCACGTCGGCGATACGATTTCCGATCTGTCACGCACAGTCTATCACGGAAGGTAAACTCAGAGATAAGTAAAATCCTAGCATGAAGCAGGGCCGAAGGGCAGCGCTTTACTGAAACGGACCCTGCACCCTGATGCGTTGCCAGAAAGCATCGGCCTAGCGACATGAAAAAGGAAATAATCAACAGCACCAGGGGTGGCCGGGACATTACAAGTCGACTATGCGGGCGATCGACACGCGCTCGCTAGCGCGTAGATCCACTTCGCAAGTGTGCGTTCCCTAGGCCGCGTGGGATGCTACCTACCACACTACACCTGGCGGGTAGCACAGCATCGTAGGCCGGCGGAACCATCCGCAAACTTGCTAGAAAAATTCGACACGGCGTTATCTTCGGTGAGTAGAATCTGTCTCAGCTGGCTTTTGCTCTCCGGGACGCGGACCTTCCTTTTTTGGTGTGAGCACACGAGTCAGCCCCTCGGATTTTGGAAAACGTGCGGATTTCACGACCCTTCGTGGCCTATCGCACGGATGTTCGGTATGAAAATCAACGTGCACGGACGGCCGCAGTTGACATGGCGGTCACTGACAGGTGTAGATGCCCAAGTAGGGCTGCCCCATGCGCCACACGTGGAAGGTTCTGAGGAAGGCCGTTGCCCGGCGGTACCTGGGTGTTGAGGGATCAGGGTGCTTTTCATCGAGCACGTCACGACGTGCGTCTGGGATGTGTATGATGAAGACGGCAACGTTACAAGTCGGCAGGCCGACATTTCAACATCCGAGATCAAGATAACGATCAACAGCCGCCCGCTTCGTGTAAGTGGTCCGGATGCCAGAAATGCGAACTATTGTATGCCGCCAAAGTTACCCGCTGCCAGCCTCAACTAGGGTCAACGCTTATCGAACAACTGCTCAGCGGGACGTAGAGAACGCCACAAAAAGCATAGCTGACCCTTGGCATGCATGCGCCTGAATTGTGCTCGGAAGCTTGCGTTGCAACTAAGCTCAACGCTTCCCGTGCTCGGTAGGCAGATGCTGTGCTAGTCACGGAAAGAAAAGTCGCCTTCAGGTACGTGGTCGTTCTGGTGGCCAAGGTGCTGATCTCGGGTCTCCCACGGGGGGTCTTTGGTACGGGACGTGGTGCCACTGCCGCAAGTAGTCGCCAAGGGTCGTGCTGGTTTTGTTGTCTGTGTGGAATCAGAAGTCGAGGGTAAATTGCCTTGCTTGTAAGCTACTCTTCCTCTTTATCACCGAGATTCTCATCTTTATCGCGGTATCGAACAAGATGTCTGCAACAATGGAGCCTACCCTTTCATCCAAGCTCAAGGCTGTCTTCCCCTCGTCGTCAACCGAGCAAGGAACGACAACCCTGTCGGCTGACCAGAACTACCTCATTGGGCTTCGTGGCCTGTTTGTATTCCAATCATTCCTCTACGTGTTCTTCCAGACCTTTCTTCCAGCCGCCCTTCCAGACTCGAAGAATGTTGATGGCCCGGCGTACCAGGTCGCACTTCGAAAGTCATTTTCAGTAATCTTCGCCAACGAGGCATTGATCTACTCATGGATCATCTTCCTCTCCGCACGAACTATCTGCTTGCCTTACCTCGCCAACAAGACGCGTGAGGTCGGCGCATCCAGTGTCTTCCGTCGTGGCATCAGACTATGGATTCCGACTTTCATCGCCTACTCTTTTGCGGCAGCGGCATTCAGCACAACCTCGACCGACTACATCTCCGACTTCTTGGCCTCTACTGGCAACATCTCCACCATCGCACCGACGCGGATCCAGAACTTCTTGATTTACTTCAACTCCCTTTTTGAGATCTTCTGGGTCAACAAGCGTTACGCTAGTCAGGCCGCCAACGATGTCTTCCCATCTGGTACGCTTTGGATAGTGTCCGTGCTCTTCCAGCAAAGTTATACCGTCTACATCACCATGGTCATTGTTCCGAATACACGCACCTCATGGCGAGTAAAGGCCATGCTAGCTTTCATCGTAGCAGCGTTCTGGGTACAGAGCTGGGCCTGGTACAGCGTTACTGGCCTCATCATTGCTGATGCGGTCCTCAACATGGACTTCAAGGCCCGGTCCCAACGAGGATTCAAGATCGGCAACTTCGGTATCCCAGTCTGGCCACTTTACGCTGCGATGGTCCTTACCGGTGTTGTGCTGCAGTTCGCCTTCATCTCCGGAAAACCAGACATGCGCGACAATGAGCTATGGGGTCACACCGCGCTGTACGATGACGGATTCTTGAACGAGAACGTAGATCTAGACCAGCCGATGGCGAGGGTCGACAACTACCTCATCATCCTTGGGTCGATGCTTCTGGTTGAGACGTTCGAATTGCCCCGGGCTATCCTTCGCGGAGGCTTCTTCGTTTCGCTAGGCAAGAGGAGCTTTAGTAAGTCGCAACTCTTCGACAAAGTCATGGAACAATTACTTACACATCCCAGGCTACTTCCTCGTCCAATCTATACTCATCTACACCGCCGGTATCAAGTTATACACGCACATGGCCGACGCCGGCATGAACGGTTCTCTGAGCACTTTTGTCTGCTTCTTGGTCTGCGCACCGCTGGTTGCTATAGTTGGAGAGATTTTCTACCGTGTTGTTGATTTGCCGAGCATTATTCTGGCTAGAGGATTTTGGGCGTTCATGACGAAATAGGTGGCGGCAACGGCGCGCTACCGGCACGTGTGTCGGGTCATCGTCAGCCACATCTCTTGACATCTCGCTTACCAGCCGCGCAGCTTCTCTCCTCATTCGCATTGCTCGGGGAAACATTATCCGTCACATCGCCCTTGCACAAGACATTTGGCGAGAAGCTCACTGGCCGACAAGCCTTTCTCCATAGCTCGGCATGCTCCTTGGAGATGTCCCCGCAGCATTGGTGATCCTTCGAAACTTCCCCGCAATGTGGAGAGACTTTAGCCTATGAACATTGGTTCGGGAAGATGTACAGTTGCTTGGACGTGGGCGTTACACTAGCTAGATCCTTCGGTGTTGTTAATCTGTATTCCATTTTCTGTTCGCATTCTTCTCCTGTTGCTGCCGTGAAAGCGCGTTCTACTGTGACTAGTCTGCTAACCAGCCACAATGGATAAGCCCAAGGCAACAGACACTGAACGCATCGAAAAGGCGATCACAATCGATGAGACGATCGATCAAGCCCTGGATAAGCGTCTGAATCGAAAGTTCGACCTCCGTATTCTGCCTTGGTTGTTCGGGATATGGTACTTTGCTCCTCCACACTGTTCACGGCGTATGCTGAGTAAGAATTCTAGGCTCTTCTCGTTCATAGACCGCAGCAACATCGGCAACGCAAGAATAGCCGGCCTGTCTGACGAACTTTCCATCACAACTGGTACACGGTTTAACATCGCCCTCCTCGTCTTCTACATCCCGTACATCCTGGTCGACGTACCGTCTAACCTACTCGTCAAGCGTTTGCGCGCCGGGATATATCTACCAGCTCTGATCACGGCATGGGGTCTAGTGTGTACGTTCATGGGCTTCGTGCAGTCATTTGCTGGGCTGGTGGCATGTAGACTGTTGCTGGGATTATGTGAAGGAGGCATTCTCGGTGGCGTGATCATCTACCTTGCCATGTTCTACAGGCGAGGCGAGATGCTGCTGAGAAGCGGTCTCTTTTATTGCGCCGCGCCTCTATCTGGGGCTTTTGGTGGATTGCTCGCTTCGGGACTGGCAACCATTGAGGTTGGGGGGTATCGAAGATGGCCCTGGATCTTCTTTAGTAAGTTCTCGCTAATGTTTCACGTTGTGGAGGTGTTGCGCTGACATGATCTCAGTCGAGGGCGCAATCACTGTCGTGTTCGGCATCGTATGCTTCTTTTTCATGCCGGATACCCCTGCCGCAGCAGGATTTTTGAGTGATGAAGAAAAGGAGTGGGCATTGCGACGCATGAGGCTTGATGCAGGAGGATCCACCGAAGTCGATGTCGACGATGAAAAGTTCAGTTGGTATTGGGTCAAGATGGCACTCAAAGCCCCGCAGACGTACCTTTCTGCTTTCATCTGGTTCTTCTTGTTGGTGCCGCTCTATGTAAGCTTTTTTGGATCTCAAACGCCAGAGACTATACTAAAGCTTGACAGAGCTTCTCGCTGTTCCTTCCTAGTATCATTGCCGGCATGGGCTATCAAAGCACCACCGCGCAGCTCTTCACGGTACCACCTAACATGGCTGCTTTCATCACAGTCATTGGCACGGCGTACGCCTCCGACAAGTTGAAGAATCGCTGTTGTTTCATCATAGGAGGCTGCGTGATAGGGATATGCGGTTACGTTATGTTGATAGTGGCGACGACGAATGCCGTGCGGTACGCCGGGACGTTCCTGGTCGCGATCGGTGTCTTCCAGGGTTCGCCCATGCTCATGGTAAGCTTCGCCTGCTCATCGAAATGCTTACTTTACTCATCCGTCATCAGGGATGGGCGTCCAACAATCTTGCGCCTCACTATGTCCGCGCAGTCGGAATCGGTATGGTAATCAGCATAGCGAACTGCTCTGCATTCATTGGCACGTTCATCTATCTTCAGCGCGATGCGCCGAAATATGTTCTAGGCCATTCTGTAAGCCTTGGTGCATTGGTAGTAACGATCGTACTCGCCGCCATACAGTGCTGGTACCTAGGCTGGGAGAACAGAAAGCGAGAGAGAGGTGAACGGGACGATAGACTGCTGCGAGCGGATGCGGATAGACTTGGCCATCAGCACCCTAGTTTCAGATTCACGTTGTAGTCGGGAGGACATGGTAGCCAAACTAAGCCTTGGTGGTGGTCCATGGTGGGAGCTGATAGGAACACTACATTAGTACGTCGTCTGAACGTAGAGAAATCTACCGCCTAAGACATTGTGACACTGAGTCACTTGGCTTTCTTGTTGTCTCTTCCCCCAATCATGCCCTTTTGCTTCGTAGTATTCTTCTTCCACGGTGTCAGACTGCCGCCTCCAGCCACCCAGCCGATTGCCATGACGATCAACGTGAATGGCACGGCTGTTAGGAAGTACCAACCATACGTCGTCTTCAATGCTGAAACACTCTCGTTCATGCTATACAGCCCGGATATGAACGTCAATGGGATGAAGATGGTCGCTAGCCATGTTATCCTCGCCATGTTATGGTTCTCCTCGAGCCCGCGGCGCGAATCTTCGATGGATATTTCCGATGTAACAATACTAGTCAGGCGGTCGACTCGCTCCTGCAATTCATTGACAGCGGCAAGGACGCGTTTGAAGTCAGGCACTATGTCCTCGAACCCATCGACGTTATCGTAATTTATGGTCAGGTTGTCGGAAAAGAGCGAGCGTACGGAAAGAGGTGATGTGGGCGCAGCGGAGGACTGAGTAGACGAGGTAGTAAGCCGCGCTGCAGCCGGAAGCGCATGTTCCAACGTTTCCGTTATCATCTCCCGAAACACAGGGATCTGCCGACGCCAGGTATGCAGACGCTTGAGCGAAGTATCAATGGCATCACCTTTCGAGCGGAAGAGGCGTGGCATCTCGAGTTCCCACTCTATCTGGCTGAGACGAGCTCTTACATAGTCGCACACTATGAGCCACTCTGCGCAGATGGTGTATATGGTGGGTTTGGCGAGGACTTGCGCGTTAATTTCGTTTCCCTCTTTCCGCTCAAACCAAGGAAAGGCAGTCGTCATTTGAACAATGTCTTCAAACCAGGATACTGAAGACTTGATTGATGGGTAGATTTTGGTGTCCATCTTGGGTGTTGGCAACCAATTACTACGATCATACCCTTTACAGTGTCAGTAAGGCAACTCGGTACTTCAGCTACTGTCGTGTTGCTAGTACTTACAGAGTGGCCGGCCTTGGCTAACAGTTGGATCTAGCAAGACGATACCGACGGTTCCATTACCACACTTCTTGTCCTTGCCGATCCACATCGAGGTACGCGTACGCATGATGGACACGACTGCTCCCTTTCCATCTTGGTAGTGCCAATGGTTCTCATCGTTGTCAGGCCGTCTGAGCACGTTCCAAGAGTTTGCTTCCAGCCTCGAGTTGAAGTAGTCCTCTTCTGTCTTGTGGTATCGTAACCTCATATTGCGCATCTTGAACCAGGGCCGATGCCTCATGCTTGAGACTAGGCTGGGTGGTGACGCCCATGGGTCACGAGTATTGTGCCACACGTAGTCATCGATCTGCTCTCGAAAGAACAATGGATCTATATCGAAACGCGCTCCCAGCAGCTCAATGACTTGTCGAGACAGGTCTTCTACTATGAAGAGGCGCAGGGGAGGTTCTTTCGTATGCTCAAGCGACAGAGCTTGAAGAGTTTCTTGAAGCATAGCAGGCGATTTAATCGCTGTAGCTTTTGGTGCAGTGGCAGGACGATACTCGACAAAGGTGACGTTTGTCTTATTCGCACGATTTTCGCGTTCCTCTGGGTTCTCTTTGATCTCATTCCAGCGTAGTGGGGTAGTGCTAACCTGCATCCAGTCCGCTAGATGTCGTAACGTCCTCCACGAAGTTGACAGCGATTTGATGTGCGCCAAATATGGCCGGCTCTTGCTGTTGCTGCATTGCTTGAGTCTTGACCTGGAGGACTATATCAATGCTGTGAACTTACGGGTCCGGTAATTCCCACTCGTCTGCGACTGGTATCCTCTCGTATGCATCTCCAATTAATTCATATGGATCCGGAAAATCTGCGCTGTGCGGAATATGTTTCGCAGACCAAAGTGCGGGAATCGTGCCTCTCTTGGACGGCTTGCCATTGCTGTTGTCGGAGTAAGTAGACATGATCGCTATGGACACTGACAACGCGCAACCATGCCAGAGCGGGTGGCGAGATGAATTTATAGATGGGCAGGCTGCAAGGCGATGTTGGGGGCTGAGGGCTGAGAAGGCTGAGACTCAAGCGCGACGATCTCTAGTTGCATCAGGGGGCTCGTACATACGCGAGGTTTCCAGCTATGTACACCCGCGCGCCTGTATGCGGGTGTGGAGAGCTAACAGATATGCCAGGCGGTCCATAATCTCTCTGCAGTCTTGATCGAGTAGATCAAGACGCGTCAAGAAGTCGTAGGGATATCGCGTTGGCTGAATCCTCGAATTTGGCGCGCCGTCAGCTGAAACGTGCAATATCCAATTTGGGCTAGACGTGAAGTTGGGTCCGACAGCTGCAGACAGCAACAGGGCTAAGCAAGTCACGCGTCTAATGCCAGCTCACATTGGACCTTTCCAGAGATGACTGCATTACGCGACAGGCTACTGCGTTGTCGGAATATCGTTGGACTGTGTGGTATGCGCCTGGGGTTGTGATGTTGACTGCTGCTGTCACGAAAGTTGAAGAGAGAATGACTCCACGGGAGTGGTTCCACCGCAGCAGCGCCGCCTGCCATTTCGGTCTCCGGTCATTTCATTCCTCAAGAAACCAACACCCTACATCAGAGCATTCCTTTCAGTTCATCACACGGCATTGCCCCACGTGAAAGGCTATAATGGGGCGTTTCTGGGCTTACTCGCGTACGCGACGTCAGGATCAAATGTGGAGAGAACGCGGGGCGCGCAGTACACCTCGGAAGCCCATAAGGGCCACAGAAACGCAACATTGGCGGGACACTTTTGCGTAGTCGCGCCCATGTGTCGATATCTTGCAGGAAATCATTAATACTCTGCAAAACCTTTTCATTGGAATCTCGATATGACATACGGCATCTTCAAACCTCACTGGTCCAGATACCTAGGCCCTGACGCTCCCGATCCTGCCAAAGACACGTATCGACCTCACGATGAGGCTGTATTCTCGTCGCCATTTGGACCCTTTCCACCGACACCGGATGATCTCAACATTCACGAACTCTGCTTTCCGCCGAACAATCCATTACCCGAAGATTACCCTCTATTCATCAATGCTATAACAGAAGAGGTCGTCACACTCCACAGCTTCTATGCTCGAGTATGTGCATTGGCGCGTGTCTTCCGGTATGACGGACCAAATCCATTGGGTTTAGACAAGAGTCCCATAGACGACAAGGAAGATGGCGAGATCCTAGCGCTATTCTCGCGAAACCACCTGCATTATCCGATGGTAGCGCACGCATGCTTTCGATCAGAATTGGTCTTCGGGGGTATCAGTCCGGCATGTACACCGTATGAGCTTTGGTGGGTGCTCAGGAAGATGCAAATTACCAGCATCATGTGCCATGAGACACTACTTCCAGTCTTGAGAGAGGCGCTCAAGCTAGGAACCGGTGAATTCGATGATTTGCCACTCAAGCTCAAGTTGAATCCCAACAAAGTCATCGTGCTTAGCGACAATTCTCAACTAGATACCGTGTCGGGATATCGTACGATCGAGTCGCTCGTGAGGGAGGGTTCAAAGCTGCCGGAGCAGCCGCGGAAGCTGCTTGGGGGAAACCGAATGGCATATCTATTCCAGTCTTCAGGAACTTCGGGTCTACCAAAGGCAATGATGATCACACACAGTAACGGTTACCACTCGGGAATACAGACGCTTATCACTGCCACGCAGGCCGCGCGCTTTGCAGGAGACGAACCGTTGACACCCGTTACTATGCTGGGCGTCATACCAATGTACCACTCATACGGTATGATCATCTGGATCCTTCGCGTCAATATGATCAAGCAGACGAGTATCATGCTGCCGAAATGGAACCTTGAGCTTGCTTTGAAAAGCATACAAAAGTACAAGATCACACATCTTCCACTAGTACCACCTCTAGTTCGCCAACTCGCCCAGAGCCCATTGACTGAGAAGTACGACCTGAGCTCTGTGATCGGCGCGTCGAGCGGCGCTGCATATCTGCCACCAGATGTCGCATACCAACTGGCCAAGAAGCTGCCTCAAGGTGTGGGGATGCCGGTGCCAAGTGGCTATGGTCTGAGCGAAGCAGCCAGTATCGCGAGCCCGGCTGCGCATGGCATATTTGGATTGGAGCCTGCACTACCCGGCATGATCGGTTATCTGCTACCGGGTATGCAAGCTCGGGTTGTAGACCCTGAGACACTCAACAATGTGCCCAAAGGCGAGAAGGGCGAGCTCTGGGCGCGCGGAGCAGTCGTCACCCCTGGATACTTCAAGGACCCGAAAGCTACTGCGGACATTTTCACTGAGCCTGGTTGGCTACGCACTGGCGATCTCGTGATGCGCGACGAGCGTGACCGTATCCACTATCTCGATCGCCTGAAGGAGATGATCAAAGTCAAAGGTCTCCAGGTCGCTGCTACGGAGGTTGAAGATACGCTACTCGACCATCCAGAAGGTCTGGTGCGTGATGCGTGCGTAGCGGGCGTTGATAACGGCCGGGGCGATGGCTCTCTGTTCGTCCGGGCGTGGATTGTGCTCACCACTGAGGGCCAGAAGCAAGGGGAAGAGGCTGTCTCAAAGAAGCTGCATCAGTGGATCGAGGGACGTCTGAGTCGACACAAGTGGCTGACTGGTGGCATTGAGGTTGTGGATTCGGTGAGTACTCACCCAACGTGAGCTGCTAGTGCTAACGACTTTTCCAGATTCCCAGAACCCCCTCGGGTAAGATGCTGAGAAGAGAGATGCGGGACCGATATCATGAAAGCGTGAAGAACAGTAGCAAGGCGAAGCTGTAATTGTCAGCATGGATCGACCAGCCTGTGGCTTTGCTATGGACATCAAGACCGAGCTTGTCTTCAGATACAATTAAAGCGTACCACGGTATGGTCTTCGTGCACACGCGCCAATCGCATGTCTACTGAATGCGATCGTGGAATATAGCTGGATT